ATATATATATATATATATATGTATATGTATATATATATATGTAGATATATATAATTTTATATAGTAATATTTTTTATTTTTTTAAAATATCTGTCAACTCTATTTGTTTCTACATTTTTTTTGTCTTACTATCTTCTTTTGTGTTTCCCTTAAAATAGAAATTTCTAGGGTGCTAAATCAAAATTAGCAAGTTAATATAAACCTTCTACAGAAATATTTCAATAAAACATCACAATGTTACGGCACTAATTATGGATAGCAGAGAAGTAATTAAAACAATTGACAGTTATAATGTTCCAACGTATAAATACTCTTATATATCCAATTTTGTGTCCGATGACACAGATCCAATGACTTCCCCATCACCTATGTAAACAATTTTACTTGTATATACAAATGCTAAATTTGTATATAGCAATGAAATTTATTTTGCTTATAAAACCATCTAAATACTAAATGAAGCATATTTGTACAATAATTGACCATCAAAATAGTTGATCCCTTATAAAACCAAGCTTTCATCTATCAACCCCAACCAACTCTAACCCTGGAGCACTTGTTTATGCACTCAACCTAACCACAACTCTTAACCCTGGCGCAGTTCTTCAAGCACTGCAACCAACCACAACTCTAACCGGCAACACTTCCTCATGCACTGCATCTAACCATCCCCGCAGCCCCATCGACTCCTTTTGTCCCTTCTTCCCATATAAAGCCAGAAGAAGAGATGCGCGAGACGAGACGAGTGAAACGACACGAAACAAAGACCAAAACGCACGTGTCACGTGACGTTCTTGTTTCGGTTCGCGGATCACCAGATGGTGGACCCCCACAGGACCTCGGCCAGCACGGTGGCCGCCTCCGCCTCCGTAGCGGCGGCCTCCTTCACCCTTGCCACCACATCCCTCTTTATCTCCCGCTTCTCCCGCTGCCGCAGTCCCTCCCCGACCTCCACCTGCACCGCCCACAGCGCCACGCAGCTCGCGAAAGGCTGCGCATCCAGGAATTGCCGCTCCTCGTCCTCCCCGCCACGCCCTCGCCGCAGCCAGCCCACCCGTACCCCTCCTCCACCGCCGTCGTTTATCTCGATGAGGGCGCCGCCCAGGTCCGATCTCTGTAGCGCCGTCAGCCGCTTGATCAGCCCCTCCGTGAGCATCGCGTCGATGGCCTCCTTCCGGCCGAAGTAGCCGATCTGCAGAGCCCAGTCCAGCGCCAGCACCCGCACCTCGACGGCGACGGTGATGCCGAGGAGGCCGACGAGCCGCGGGATATGCCCCCGGGCGTGGAGCTCGTCCACCAGCGGGCTTCGTATGGCCGTGATGAGCCCGTTAAGCGAGCGGAGAGCGGCAGCCGACGCGAAAGCGGAGGACATGGAGACGAGGGCGCCCAATGTGGGGCCCATGAGGACTGGGCCCACGAAGACAGCCTTGTTGAAGCGGACGAGTGCAAGCACCGCCGCGGCCGCGCACTCACGGACCCGCTTCGGTGCCGCCGCGTCGGCGAGGGCGGACTCTACGGCGGCGAAGGCCCCGGAGCGGAGGAGCACGTCCTGCAGGCTGAGGTCGAAGCCCTGAGAGACGCGCGACTCCAGGGCGCGCACCAGCGACTCCCCTTCCTCGACTTCCGCGTCACGGGCAACAGGGGGGGAGAATGAACGTAGGGCAGAGATGAGGCGGTCGGCGCTTTCCCGGTCGATCCACGACTGGATCTCGGCGCCAATCGATCCGGCGACACGTGAGATCTCGTGGCTGTGGCTAGATCGCCGCCATCGGATTGATCCAAATATCCCACCTTTACCATCACCACCACCACGCCCACACTCGCCGCCACCGTCGCGGCACGAGGAGGAGCGGAACGAAGACACGAGGCATCTGAGGCGGTAGAGGAGGTCAGAGAGGTTGGCGAGTTGGGGATCGCCGGATAGGAGGTCTCGGGAGCCGCTCTGGAGTCGGAGGAGGGCCTTCATGGATGGGGAATCACATCCGCCGCCGCCGTTCTCGGCGGCCCCAACGGGGTTGGCCTCGATCTCCTTGGATGCCTTCTTGAGAGCCTCAAGCGCCTTCAGCACCTCACACTTCTGCCCTCTCTCCATTGCGGGAACAGAGGAGGAAGCTTACACAGCGCTCGCCGTCTCTCAATCTCGATTTCTCGATCTCTTCGCTTACAATTATTTGGTTACTTATTTCAGAACTACCAGTCGTTGACCAACGTCGACATCACGCGATAGAATGATCGATGACGTCGGTGTTAATGAAGATTTACCGGTAACAATGAGATTATGTATATAATTATAATCTAGTATTGGCGATCACTGCAACAGCGTATGTGAAAATATGCATGTGAACAATGAGGGTGTTAAATTTGGTACGAGCTCCATCCGTCATAGTAATAGGGTACATTTGGTGGTTCATTATTATTAGGGAAATATGTAATACCTTAACTTTAGACCAACTGCAAAAGATGCTAATGGCAGGCAGTATTGTTAGGGGAACGAGATGGTGTCGAAGGCAGGGCGATATGTGTATCGATTTTAATGATAATTAGCTTATCAATACTTGGTTTTCTCGGGTCTCGTAGGGTTTCGTTAATGTACCAAGATCGATGACAAAGAAAATTTATTTTCTTAATAAATTTTTTAAAAATATCAATCATTCAAATATTTCTCTCTTGCCTACTTCCTCGTTCTATCTAATATTATTATATTTGATTATCAATTCGATATAATGAAATTAGGAGAATATGTAATGCCTTAACTTGAAACCAATTGCGAGAGGCGTGCAAATGGCAGGCAGCATTGTTTGGGGAAAGAGATAGGATCAGAGGCGAGGGTCACTAGAGCGATATATGTATTGATTTTAGCGATAAGTAGTCTATCAATACATGGCTTTCTCGACTCACCTACCCTCTTAGTGATTGGTAATATCACTTGTGGATCCCGTAGTGTTACATTAATATACTAGGATCGATGACCGAAGGAAACTTATTTTCTTAAAAAAATTAAACATTTTAATCATTCAAATGTTTCTCTCTCTTATCAAATTCCTCATCCTATCTAATATTATTAGATTTGATCGTCAATTTGATATAATGAAATCAATCGACTTGATCCATTTTTCTAAAAAAAAAAAGATCATTGAGTTTCATATATGATAAGAGAGAACTTTTTTCTAAGACAAAAATCATCAATATGTAGTAGTGTCTCCTATTTCACTTTAGTTTAGAAGATCTCTCGTATCATGCTTCCTACAAAATACCATATGAATTTTATTCGATAGGTGGTTCATTATTAGGGGAATTTGCAATGCCTTAATTTTAGAAATAAGTTGTCTACTTGTACTTGGCTTTCTCGATTCACCCACCCTCCTAGTGATTCTTAATGCCACTTAAGTCTCGTATGGTTTCGTTAATGCACGAGGATCGATGGCAAAGAAAACTTGTATTCTTAAAAAAATATTTAAAAATATCCATCATTCGAACATTTCTCTCTTGCATCTAATTCCTTATCCTATCTAATATTGTTAGATTTATTTGTCAGTTCGATATAATGAAAATGATCGACTTGATCCATTTTTCCAAAAGAAAGATCATTGAGTTTCAGATGATAAGAGAGATTTTTTTTTTCTAAAATAAAAATAATCAATATGTAGTCTCTTATCTCACTTTAGTTTAAAAGTAGAAGATCTCTCATATCATATTTTCTACAAAAAATCATATGTGGTTCATTATTAAGGGAATCTACAATACCTTAACTTAGGACCAATTGAGAGGCGAATGACAATCAAAAATATTAAGAGAAAGAGATGGGATCGAAGGTGGGGGCCACTAGAACGACACGCATTGATTTTAGTAACAATTTGCTTACCTCCTGGTCATCGGTAATGCCACTTATGAGTCCTACTAGGTTTCGTTAATGCACCAGGATCGATGTCCAAGGAAAATTTAAACATATCCATCAGTCAAATATTTCTCTTTCTCTCTCTCTCTCACCTAATTCCTCATCTTATCTAACATTATTAGATTTGTTTGTCAATTCAATATAATAAAATTGATCAAGTTGATCCCTTTTTTCAAAAGAAAAGATTGTTGAGTTTTATATGATAAGAGATTTTTGTTTTTTTAAAATAAAAATTATCAATATGTAGTGTCTCTTCTCCCTTTAGTTTGAAGGTAGAAGATCTCTCTTATCATGCATCCTACGAAAGACCACATGAGGTTCATCTGACAAAACCTTTGAACTGTCAAGTTACTATATGCATATGTGTGTCAAAGGTAAGTATGCTTAGGATAAAAACTTACCTAAGAAGGTAGTTTTATTTATCATTATTCTTATAACCATTGGTTTAATAAAAGAATATTTTCTCTAGATGCATGGTTGATGTGGTACGCCCATTTGGTACATTATCATTACTAGGTAGATTGGGCTCTAAGTGTCAAACTACAATCGGTTGGAAATAATAATCATAGCATTTGCTCCCCCATTATGTTTCAAGATAAGGGCTTTTCGTTTCGGAGTACAATATTCGTTTCGGAGTATCGCACCTATAAAAAGATGATTGGGAGCTGTAGCAATGCTTTCTCTTGGGTGATTGCATCAAGCACAAATAAGATACCTTAATCATGTCGAATGCTTTGTATGCTCCTTTGTCTTGGACAAATGTATTATACATAGGGAATGTTTTAGTCATGCTAGGCACTTCATATACATTTTTATTCTCATGAGTATATCATGTATAAAAGGGATACTTTGCTCATGTTAATGTAAGCATATATTCTAACAGTTAAGTGCTTTAAATAATTTTTATTTTGTCTTAAGCGAACCTATAATATACAAAGGGAATATATTGGTCATATTATTGAATCTCATATTTTGATGATGAAACAAATTGATAAGTGTTTATGATTTAATCTACATTTTGAGTGACGTAGGATGCTTCAATCAAGGAGAGACATTTAAAGTAAGAAAAATCATGTTGGGCCGAAGAAACATGTCAGAAGATTGGACGTCACGCTGAAGGATCGGTCGACGTATCGACAGAAGGCTTCGGGCCACGGTTTCGGACATCGGGCCAAGAAGAGTCAATATTGTGTTAAGAATATCGGAGTTACGGAGGTCAATTGGCCGATTGGACAATAGGCCGCAAGAAAGGACGATACGCCGAAGAATCGGACGACGTGTCGATGGACCAATGATATGTCGTACAACATGATTCATACTTAGTAATAATTGTTTAGATCGAAGTGTGTTTTACATGTGCAGGATTAACTATGATAGCAAGGCATAAAGAAAAATGAAATCCCGGAGTCAAGAACGCGATTCATTGGGAGTTCGAGAGTTTGTTGGAAGTCCGGACGTTCGTCAGAAGTTCTGCTGGAATTGACCAAGAAGTCCAGGAGCTTGCCGGTGTTAGGATCGGAGTGGCACTAAGAGAGGGGGGTGAATTAGTGCAGCGGATTGAAACTTATAAGTTCGAAAATGATTCTGTAAAATGCAAGGAGATTTCGCTTTGATTGTAACTTGAGTAAAGTAAGAAACCAGAAACGATTGCAGAAAGGTAAGTACTCACATATTCAATGAACACGACAATTTAAAGTGGTTCGGTCAAACGACCTACATTTACTTGCGAAGCCTTCTTCAATGAGGCTTCCAACTTCCACTAGTAAATCACTTTGAAGGGGAAGGACTAATACCCCTTTTATAACCTTTACAAGTGGTTCACACTCTTACAATTTTTTCAACAAGAAGGAAGGAGGTGAACACTCAAGCAATTTGAAAATAAGACTTGCTAAGACTTTGCTAAGGCTCTTATCTCAAACTAATGCTTTGTAAAAGTTGTATTCTCTGCTGAGAATTGAGGGGTATTTATAGGCCCCAAGAGGATTCAAATTTGGGCTCCAAATTTTGAATTCTCTTGGGTTTTCGAGACTGGCGATGCCACCGCCTGTCGGTGGCGGTGCCATCGCCTATCGGTGGCGGTGCCACCACCTGTCAATGTCTGTCAAACGGTGTACTAGCGGTGCCACCGCTTGTCGGTGGCTGTGCCACTACTTGATCTCGAGTGCTGGGCGGTGCCACCACCCGTCCTTATATATCTCTGGTTGGGCTTTAATTCTGTCCCAAACCAGGTCACTTTTGGGCCCAGTTGGCCCCTAACCAAGATATAGGATTGTCCCTTAATCCTAACCCTAATTACATGTGAACTATATACCCAAAAACATAATCCTAAGCAAGTTTTTAACCGGCAAACGTTGAGTTTTGTTTCGGCGAGCTTTCCTGCGATCTTCCGGCGGACTTCTGATACGCCTTCGGGTTTCTTCTGGCGGACTCCCAGCAGGCTCCTGATCTTGTGACGAATTCAACGAGTAGCCGAGCCTTCTCGGTGATCTCTGCGAACCTCTGATGATCTCTTCGGCAGACTTCCAAAAGTTCCAACACATCTTCGATCTTTCTTGGTTGGTTCCGACAGCATCACCGACGAATCTTCGGACTCTCAAACGTCCATCGAACTTGACTTTGGTATCCTTGCTTTATGTTTTTAGGCTATCGTAGTTAATCCTGCACACTTAACTTCAATAATATGGATTAGATCAATTAACCCATCAATTGATTTCATCATTAAAATCCGAGATTCAACAATCTCCCCCTTTTTTATGATGACAATCAATTGATGACAGAGTTAAACATAACTCCCCCTATCTATATGTCATATTGTGAGAAGATAAAACCACTTGAATTCCATCCCTTTGAATTCAAGCATAAATCGATAAGTTCTAACCGTTTGAACTTATCGTTGTCTTATTAAGCATGAGCAAATACAAAACTTCGTATTTCTCATAATTTTCAGCTATTGAAAATCATTTTCAAGTCAAATGATAAGAGACAATTTTCATTACGACGAAAGATAAAAAATTTCAAAATGATAATGATTTTCAACATGAATTTCATGATATAAATTTGAGGAATGATTTCATATGATCAACCAATCTTGCGATATACTCAAAAATTTTACAAGGCATATAAGACAAGCTTTTGCAATTCATATAAGTCATGCTATCGATGCGCATAAGTCATTTTTATTAAGTCATGATACGTACAAGTCATCATTTCTCCCCCTTTGTCATCAACAAAAAATAAGGAGATGAGACTTGAAACACACAGTTTGTGATCATATCATACAAAATTCGAATTCATCATACAAAGTTAATCTTGTAAGAAATATTTATCTAGATTCCAAAACAAATCAGCAATTATCTAGAATTTAACAATACATCTCAAATAAAGGTTCAGTTTTTGTTCAAAAGAAGATGACAAACTTCTAACTTGACATTAAGAGTAATCAGAATAGAATAAGAAACTACATCGATTAATCCTTAGGAGGTAATCCACAGTGCTGATATATGATATCTATTTTTTGATTCATTTGTCATAGTTCCTTCAAAATTTCAATTTGCTGGATTTGAATTTGTTCTTGCTGTGATTTGATCTGATACAATTCTACCATA